GAGCAAAGGGCTGGCCAATTACCTTTCCCATAGCCAGGTTGTGCGTGTGGACTCCTCACCTCACTGTTGGGATCTTAAGTGTCGTAAAAACAGTCTTGTGGTCAGACTATCCAACATAGCCGAGGGGTTGACAAGTGACTATGCCTTGTGCCAGATCACTCACTACTGGGTCAAGGGAGGAGCCAGAGATGTGAGTAGGGAAATCAAAGTTTCTCATGTCAAACACTGAAAGAAGGTCATCAAAGTCCCTCTGTATAAGGTGCTGGTTGAGGTCACCAACAATTATGATATGTTGACAGTTGTGTTGTAGCAGAAGGGAGTCAACATTTCCCATTAGGAAGTTGATGGGATCTGCATGTTGCCACTGAGGTCTGTACATTGCACATGCTAGTACAGAGGTACTAGTGTTTATGCAGAGCTTGAAGAACATCATTTCAAGATGTGTAGGGGTGGCAACATCAATGTGCTGGGCATGAACACTTTTAGAGAAGCACACAGCAACACCTCCTCCTTGCCCTTGCCTGTCTCTTCTCATCCATGAGGTGTAGCCAGCAATTCTTGCAAAATTTTCTGGAGTCCTATCATCCAAAAATGTTTCAACAACAGCTATCATGTTGGGACGTCGAGTGTTCACAAAACTGTGTGTGAGCTCTCCAACATTAGTAATGAAACCTCTAATGTTGGCCGACAGGATGCTGATAGACTGGCACCTCATGATGTGGTCAGCTTGAGGTGGTGGGTGTGTAGAGCATGTAAGGTGCCTGCCCTTGAGAGAGGTAGGGTACTGAGGCAGCTGCAGGGATGTAGGTCTGTGGTCTTGTATAAGGCACAATACCACCTGCTGGGCTGGGATAGGAGTAGCTGAGTGGGTGACGTGTGAAAGTGTTCACCAATTCAGAGATCCTGCTGGTTTGTTCTGAGAACAGGTCTCTAAACAGGTGGTCCTGTCTGTCAAGTTCCTTTTTCTTCCGACACTGGTCCTCCTGATGTCCTTTCTTGTAGCAGTAATTACACCTGGTATCTCGCAGGCAGTTGCTGGCAGTGTGCCCCTTCCGGTGACAGCGAGAGCACAGCCTAGGTGCCTGGGAGGGTGGACTATGATTTGTTGCACCTCCTGTGTTTTGCAGATTTGTCCTCAGGTTCTGCCGCTGGAACTGTGTTAGTGGAGGGTGAGACAACTGTAGATGTCTTCCTCCTCCACGTCCTCTGCCCACAATACTTAAGATTCTTATTCAGTCTTTTATATTCTCTTTCAGTCCTTTCTTCTTTTGCGATCATCTTTTTCTTCTATCTCTTGCTTTCTGCTTTGCTTTCCTTAGTTTTCCTTGTCCATTTACCTCTTAAATCCAACGATTATTGGGTTGAAATGATGACACGTATATTTTGTGTGTACTTACCTATTTGTGGTTGCAGGGATCGATTCATAGCTCCTGGCCCCTCCTCTTCACTGCTCGCCACTAGATCCACTCTCCCCCTGCTCCATGAACTTTATTATACCTCTTAAAGCTATTTCTTGACAACTCTATGGCTAAAGAAATACTTTCCAATATCTCTGCGACTTATCTGAGTCTTCAACTTCCAATTGTGACCCCTTTTTGCTATGTCCCATCTTTGGATCATCCTGTCTCTGACCACCTTGTCGATTCTTGTCAGTATTTTATATGTCGTTATCATGTCCCAACTGTCCTCTAGTGTCGTCAAGTCGAGTTCTCTTAACCTCTCCTTAGCTCCAGGATTAGTCTCGTTGCACACCTTTGCACTTTCTCTAGTTTCCTGACGTGCTTGGCCACCCATATGTTGCAGCAGTTATGTGGTTGATGTGCATCTCATGAAATATGCTCAGTATTATACACACTCCAAGATTCTTTTCCTTGAGTGAGATTTGTAATCTTTGGCCTCCTAGACTGTACTCTGTGGTCTTCTTTGCTCATCCCCGATCTTTATGACTTTGCACTTAGTGGGGTTGAACTCCAGGAGCTAGTTGCTGGACCAGGTTTGCAGCCTGTCCAGATCCCTCTGTAGTCCTGCCTTATTCTCCTCCGACTGAATTCTCCTCATTAACTTCATAACATCTGTAAACAGGGACACTTCTGAGTCTATTCTTTTCATGTCACATATACTAAAAAAGCAGTGTTAGACGAATTTCTGTTAAAGGAACTGAAGACCTTAGGGAAAAAATAGGGTTACGTTCCTGGGAACCCCAAAAAAGCCAAACAATTTTTTTTTAGGCCTCCAAATCTTACAAAAATAAAAATGATGCAATCGTTGTTCAGTATTGTTATGATGTATGTTTTTTCTGTTGCTTAAGGGTAAAAATGAAACAGAAATAACATTTCTTACCTTAAATTCTGCTGGTGTTTGTGGATGATTATGAAGGAGGGAGTGGAGAGGCTGGCTGAGACCCATCTGCCCATCTGGGCTGAGGTGGATGGTAGTCCAGTCAGTAAGTCAGTCAAGTGAGTCAGTAGGTCAGTCAGTCAAGTCTGTACAGTCATTCAATTCGGTAGTTCACTCATTTAAGTCAGTCAAGTCATTCAGTTAATCAGTTAAATTTGTCAGTCTAGTCAGTAAGCCATCAGTCAGTAAATCAGTCAGTATATCAGTCAAGACAGTAAATAAGTCAAGTTGGTCAATCAAGTCAGTAAGCCAGTCAATTAAGTCATTCAGTCGTATTACCACTTACCATTTAATCACTGTAGATGGGTCACACCACAACACCAGCCTGACACCTAGACCCTACACTAGCCAGTTAGAGATCTAAATGAAAGGATTAATGGCACACTTCCCTGCGAGTGATGGTCGTATCCCTTATCTTCCTCCATCCACACAATTCTTGAGGTCCCACTAATTTCCTGTCCTAATTCTTCAGCAGGGGATATTAACAAAGGTTCCTATTACAAATTTTGGTCGAAAAACCCTATTTGGCCACGAAGATGATGGATTATTAGCTGAATTTTCCACAACAACCAGTGCCCACAAATTACGAATGGCATCTCCCTCGGCATCACTAAGCAGCTGATCTACACCGTCTCACTTGAAATTTCTCGAAAGCGTCAAATCAGCATTGTATTTTATTGCACAATTATTGTATTCCAATTTACACATGCTGAATTTGGGAAAATCCTAAATTTTCCACAAAGCAAGCCAGTCTGAAAACTAGTCAAGTCATTAAGTAAATCAGGTCAGTCATTCAGTAAATCAGTCAAGTCATTCAGAAAATCAGTAAATCAGGTCAGTCAGCAAGTCGTTCATCCAGCTTGTGGCACTGAAATTTTTCCCTTCCAAGAAGCAGAACCATTTAAATTGAATTTTACGAAGTGTCAAACAAAAATATGCTGCAATTTGACAATAGTTTAGTGGAGAAGACGTTTTAAAAGAAACCGTTTTAATCGATGGTCTACTGTACAGGAACCGCCCGTCACAGGCGCCCACTCTGTACTCACCTAATTGTGGTTGCAGGGGTCGAGACTCAGCTCCTGGCCCCGTCTCTTCACTGAGTGCTACTAGGTCCTCTCCCTGTTCCATGAGCTTTATCATACCTCATCTTAAAGCTATGTATGGTTCCTGCCTCCACTACATCACTTGCTAGGCTATTCCACTTCCTGACTACTCTGACTGAAGAAATACTTCCTAACATCCCTTTGACTCATCTGGGTCTTCAACTTCTAATTGTGACCCCTTGTTTCTGTGTCCCCTCTCTGGAACATCCTGTCTTTGTCCACCTTGTCTATTCCACACAGTATTTTGTATGTTCTTATCATGTCTCCCCTAACCCTCCTGTCCTCCAGTGTCGTCAGGCCGATTTCCCTTAACCTTTCTTTGTAGGACATTACCCTTAGCTCTGGAACTAACCTTGTCGCAAACTTTTGCACTTTCTCTAATTTCTTGACGTGCTTGATCAAGTGTGGGTTCCAGACAGGTGCTGCATACTCCAATATGGGCCTGACGTACATGGTGTAGTGTCTTGAACGATTCCTTACAAGGTATCGGAACGCTATTCTCAGGTTTGCCAGGTGCCCATATCCTGCAGCAGTTATCTGGTTAATGTGTACTCCCGGAGACGTGCTTGATATTATACTCGCCCCAAGATCTTTCTCCTTGAGTGAGGTTTGCAGCCTCTGTCCACCTAGCCTATACTCCGTCTGCAGTCTTCTTTGCCCTTCCCCGACCTTCATGACTTTGCATTTGGCGAGGTTAAACTCGAGAAGCCAGTTGCTGGACCAGGTGTCCAGCCTGTCCATGTCTTTTTCAAGTCCTACCTGATCCTCCTCTGATTTAATTCTCCTCATTAACTTCACATCTGCGAACAGGGACACTTCTGAGTCTAACTCTTCCATCATGTCATTCACATACCAGAAATAGCACTGGTCCTAGGACCGACCCCTGTGAGACCCCGCTCGTCACAGGTGCCCACTGTGATACCTCATCACGTACCATGACTCGTTGTTACCTCCCTCTGTGTGTGTGTGTGTGTGTGTGTGTGTGTGTGTGTGTGTGTGTGTGTGTGTGTGTGTGTGTGTGTGTGTGTGTGTGCGCGCGCGCGCGCGCCTGTGAGAGAGCGAGCTTGACAATGGGTTGGAAATAACCTCTGGAAAAGTCCCGGGCCGGGACTACACTGGCGAACCTACTACTCATTGTAATATCTTTATTTCTACCATTACATGTACAAGGTATACAGACCATAGCTGACATCAGTAACATACTGCTATATAGAAAGCCGCTTGTTATGCTGAGCATTTCGGGCAAATTAGGTCAGTTTTATCCCAGGATGTGACCCACACCAGTCGACTAACACCCAGGTACCCATTTTACTGATGGGGAAAATTGATATTCAGTGTAAAGAAACCCGCCCAATGTTTCTACCCTCGACGGGAATCGAACCCGGACAATTACCGTGTGAAGCGAGAGCTTTAGCCACCGTTCATAAGATATCATTGCCCCTGGGATGGGATTAGCCACATACCGAAGACATTGTCCCTGGGATGGAATTAGCCACTTACCGAAGATATCATTGCCCCTGGGTGGGTAGCCGGTGAGGGTCATGGCGTGGGAGTGGTCAGCAGTAACAATAACTAGAGTATCGTCCAGATCTATCGTCTTCAGAGCAGCTTCCACTGTCTCGTCGAAATGAACCAGCTCCTCCAGGCCACGTCTGGGCTGACTATAGTGCAGCGCCAGGTCTATAGCACCAGACTCCACCTGCGGCGCAAGATATTAATTATATACTGATGATGGGAGAGCACTACTATAATAATAATACTAATAATAATAATTTATTTTAGCATGATACAATGTTTGTACAGAGATGGGTGACATTTAGGTGTGCATTCAGAAAGTCCATTTTTATGCGGAGCATTTAGGGCAAACTTAAACCTAGTTTAAGACTAAAAGGGCAATAACTACTGAAGGCAGGTCTTGCTGTAGGCCTACTCTAGACAGATTCTGATGTAGGCCTACTCTAGACAGGTTCTGATGTAATAAAATAATGTCTAACCTATTGTTAAGATTTCCACTCCTCTCCCCCCTCTCTCTCTCATATTTTATATATATATATAATATATATATATATATATATATATATATATATATATATATATATATATATATATATATATATATTCTTTCATTCAACACACCAGCCGTATCCCACCGAGGCGGGGTGGCCCAAAAGGAAAAACGAAAGTTTCTCCTTTTACATTTAGTAATATATACGGGAGAAGGGGTTACTAGCTCCTTGCTCCCAGCATTTTAGTCGCCTCTTATGACACGCATGGATTACGGAGGAAGAATTCCGTTCCACTTCCCCAAGAAGACTGTCTAGATTCATCAGTGTATATAATTTGCGACATTAACAGTTATGATAAATTGCTTCAGGAATTGCATTTGATTCTAAGGGATTTCTCTCTCTCCTTTAGTGAATGTAATAATTTTTGCCTAGAGACCAATAAACCTACAGGGGTCATAATGCATCTGGGGAATAAAAATAATCAAGTCTGTTCCAAAGTAATGTAATCTCAGACTCCTCTCCCTATCACACAGTCCTTCACTCTTAACTTTTTTACTATCCCTTCATCTTTCACTCTCAACCTCTCATTCTGTTATGTGCGCTTCTTCGGGAAATTACGAAGTGTACTGAGACTGGTGCATGACATGAAGTGTACCGAGACTGGTGCATGACATGAAGTGTACCGAGACTGGTGCATGACATGAAGTGTACCGAGACTGGTGCATGACATGAAGTGTACCGAGACTGGTGCATGACATGAAGTGTACCGAGACTGGTGCATGACATGAAGTGTACCGAGACTGGTGCATGACATGAAGTGTACCGAGACTGGTGCATGACATGAAGTGTACCGAGACTGGTGCATGACATGAAGTGTACCGAGACTGGTGCATGACATGAAGTGTACCGAGACTGGTGCATGACATGAAGTGTACCGAGACTGGTGCATGACATGAAGTGTACTGAGACTGGTGCATGACATGAAGTGTACCGAGACTGGTGCATGGCATGAAGTGTATAAACAATAATGTCAGAGAGACTACATGTCACTGAAGGAACAAATAGAGCAGAGAGTAACTGACTAAATCGTGACAACGAGACTACAATCAAATCAGGGAAAGGGTGGAGTCTGAACCCGTGGTATACCTGGAGTTTACCTGGAGAGGGCTTCGGGGTCAACGCTTCCTCGGCCCGGTCTGAGACCAGGCCTCGTGGTGGATCAGGGTCTGATCAACCAGCCTGTTACTGCTGGCCGCACGTAAACCGACGTACGAACCACAGCCCGGCTGATCAGGTACTGACTAGGTGCCGGTCCAGCGCCTTCTTGAAGACAGCCAGGGGTCTATTGAACAGTCAGTTCAACAGTGTTGGGCCCCTGACACTGCTTTTCATTGGGGAAGATGCTGCATCTCCTGCCGAGTCTTTTGCTTTCGTAGGGAGTAATTATCGTGTGCAAGTTTGGTACTAATCCTTCTAGGATTTTCCAAGTGTATATTATCATGCATCTTTCTCGCCTTCGTTGCAGGGAATACAAATCCTCTGACAATATCACTCCCAGGTCATTCATATTAGTTATTGTGTCGTTAGAATTTGTTTTATACCCTGATGCAGTTTTAATTTCCTCAAGTTTTCCATATGAGTAGTTGAAATTTCTCTTCAACTACTACTACTACTAAAACTTACCCATCCCTTTGGGTATGACCTACTTCTACTGGGGAATCCCGCCTACCAGTGACTATGCCCTCATCTGCTACCCGTCCCAATCAACCGGGCGTTAGTATATAAGCTCCAGTCTCCTTGCCTCTGCTCCAGAATCTTCACGACTACGGTGGTCTTCACATCAGCTCCAAGGCTGATGGACTGATTACCTCATCTTTTGTATATAGTTCTACTGTCTTCAAATTATGTCCTAGAATCTGTATTGATAAAGCCACTGGAGGGCGAAACGTCTACAATAAAGATACCCAGATGTTGCACATGTGTCTCAGTTTTCATCTTGTCGGTATTGTGTACCATTCTTGTACGGCACTAATAATATTTATTCAACTGTACACCACAGGGAGGCTAGCATGGGCCATCACTGTGACCACAAATACAAGTTTTTATACATGAATACCACACCAGCATGGCTGTGACGTATTCTGGCTAAAGTTCCTTAAACACATGTGTAATGATTGCGGTTTTGAGGGGGACTTGAGCTGGAGTACACCACAGCCACGCTGGTGTGAGATTCATGTTTAAAAACCTGCGTTTATGGTCACACTGGCCCCTGAACTTAGATAACTAATGGAATAACGTAGATACCTGCGTTTATGCAGCAACTTGTGAACAGACTGACTGTTGTAGTAACCAGGATTAAGCTTGGTTATAAGTACTTCTGACAGTTCGGTAGACACACAGATGATTATCAAACCAAATATAAAGAATCTGGCCAAGCCATTGGTCGCTATCTTGAACACTATTTGAGGAATAGTGTGATAGTATAATAACCTATGGAATATGTCAAGATATCTAATTAATGAGTATAAGATACCACATATATTTAGTAAATTTCCTAAATTTGCCTGCAACATAAGTGAACTGTAGGCATTAATCCAGATGTTCTCCTGTAAACCTTCTTGGGACCTATTTCTTAGACCTTTCATGTAACCATATGCTCTTCCACTACCGTCCACAGGATGGATAATGGGGTACACAATCATCTATCCGCCTTTGCCGCAAAATATAAGAAATAAAGTTTGGGGCATGCTAACTTCTCTAGGATGTATATATACTTAATTAGATGACTTTTATTAGAGCCAACTGGCCCAGTGGTTAATGCACTGGCATGTGACTTTTAGAACTCACTTGCCAGGCGTTCAAACCCCACCCGTTCCATGGTTAGGCAATTATCAGGGTGCAAAGGAATCTTACAGAATATAGAACAACAACTTGAGAGAAAAATAAAAAATTATGCTTATAAATATTCGACAAAAATAAAACTGAACGATGACTCAGTGTAAACAGACTACATGAAGGTTTTCAGAATCAGATATGACATGACTAATTCATATTAGTTGATCAAAGGTAAAATAACGGAGCCAAGAGGTAAGCCTGGCAGGTTCTCACCATGAGAAAGAATCCTTCAGGAGAGTTCTGCAGCACAGCTATCGCAGACAACACCATCTCCTTCAAGCTGGGAGTCCCGTCAAGACTGTCGTCACGGTCTACCTGGTGTGGCGTGTGACGCTCGCCGAACAGTCCTGTGATGAAAGGGAGTGTGTGACGCCAGGAAGTGTGTTACCAGAGAGTTACCAGGGACAGTGTTACAATGGAGAGTGTTACCAGGGAAAGTGTTGCCAGGGAGAGTGTTACCAGGGAGAGTGTTGCCAGGGAGAGTGTTGCCAGGGAGACTGTTGCCAGGGAGAGTGTTGCCAGGGAGAGTGTTGCCAGGGAGACTGTTGCCAGGGAGAGTGTTGCCAGGGAGACTGTTGCCAGGGAGACTGTTGCCAGGGAGACTGTTGCCAGGGAGACTGTTGCCAGGGAGACTGTTGCCAGGGAGACTGTTGCCAGGGAGAGTGTTACCAGGAAGAGTATTTCCAGGGAGTGTGTTACCAGGGAGAGTGTTACCAGGGAGAGTGTTACCAGGGAGATTGTTACCAGGGAGTGTGTTACCAGGCAGTGTTGTGAGGGATAGTTCCCAGGGAGTGTTACCAGGGAAAGTGTTACCAGGGACAGTTACCAGGGAGAGTGTTGTGAGGGAGAGTATATTACCAGGGAGTGTGTTGCCAGGGAGTGCTTCAGGGGGCTGTAGGGTTAGTTTCCGCGCGCGCTCAACCAAAAATCGAAAAATTATGGAAACTGAGTTATATATACCGAAAAATAGCTTAACTCTTTGGCAACACAATGGTACCAAAATCAATGTTCTACGACGTTTCTACAAGAAATTATAGTCATTTATATCAGGTATGGTGACGGTGATGTGGGTAGCGAGTCTGCTCACAGCCAATATGTATTTTTTTTATTTTTTTCCTTGTTTATCTCTTTTTATTGCATTATTCTTTCTAATATAATAACTGACTATTTGGCATCATAAAACAGTAGGCGGAGCTTATCCGTAGACTTAGAGCCTACCAGGCCTACCACCGCTCCAAAGAGAGCCAGGAGAAATCACTTCATTATTACGCTTATATCAGCTTATATATCAACTCTACGGCTTATTTATCTATCAAAATTTATCTAATATGATATAATAAACACTATAAATAACATACAAACATGTTATATACTCTAGACTGAATAAAATAGGCCATAATATGGCGAGAGACCATCAGGAATATTTCGATATAAATGAGTGAATCCTCTCATGTCGTATTCTTTGGTCTCTGAGTAAGAGAAAACGGTGTTTTGAAGAGGCTAACTGCACTAGAACATCAGTTTACTAAGAAATACACCCAAACAAACGCGATTTTCGCGAAAAATAATTTTTTTTTTTTGAGGCCGTGGGCCTGCCGGCGCCCCAGGCCGATATCTCAGAAGTAACTTATTCACTTATGGTACATCGTTCTGCCTTTATTACTTAATTAAATGGAATAATATTCACAGAAATTGTAGAATAATGATTTTTTTAATTAAGATTGCTCAATTTTTGGAAATATTCCAAATACTTTGGGAGTTATGTGGGAGTAAAGGGCACATTTTTTTTTGCAACATTCCAAGAACTAACAAACTTTATTTTTCGTGAAATAAAGATAAGTTATATTAGAGGACAGGTAGCTTATATAATACGTATTAGCATTGTTCTCTCGGCACCAAGTGTCCAAACAACCTTACGTCGTCCCATATAGGAATAAATCGCCCCCAAAGGGCATTTTCAGTTAATCAGTCCCTTTTCAGTGTTTTCTCAGTTGTTGTTTAAGGTATATTTTTGATAAATATTTTTAACAAAGAGTGAAAACACTTTGTCTTGTGCACCAAAACTGGAGGAGGAGCTAAAAAATTTTAACCGACGGCCCCCTTCAGGCTGGACAAGACTGTCACTGGAACAAAAATGCCAGGAAGAATGTCAATGGAACAAGGATGCCAGGGTATCACTGGAACAAGAATGCCAGGAAGAATGTCAATGGAACAAGGATGCCAGGGTATCACTGGAACAAGAATGCCAGGGAGAATGTCACTGGAACAAGGATGCCAGGGTATCACTGGAACAAGAATGCCAGGAAGAATGTCAATGGAACAAGGATGCCAGGGTATCACTGGAACAAAAATGCCAGGGAGAATGTCAATGGAACAAGGATGCCAGGGTATCACTGGAACAAAAATGCCAGGGAGAATGTCAATGGAACAAGGATGCCAGGGTATCACTGGAACAAGAATGCCAGGAAGAATGTCATTGGAACAAGGATGCCAGGGTATCACTGGAACAAAAATGCCAGGGAGAATGTCAATGGAACAAGGATACCAGGATATCACTGGTACAAGGATGCCAGGGTATCATTGGTACAAGGATGCCAGGGAGAGTATCACTGGTACAAGGATGCCAGGGAGAATATCACTGGTACAAGGATGCCAGGATATCACTGGTACAAGGATGCCAGGGCATCACTGGTACAAGGATGCCAGGGTATCATTGGTACAAGGATGCCAGGGAGAGTATCACTGGTACAAGGATGCCAGGGTATCATTGGTACAAGGATGCCAGGGTGAGTATCACTGGTCCAAGGATGCCAGGGTGAGTATCACTGGTACAAGGATGCCAGGGTGAGTATAACTGGTACAAGGATGCCAGGGTGAGTATCACTGGTACAAGGATGCCAGGTTATCACTGGTACAAGGATGCCAGGGTATCACTGGTACAAGGATGCCAGGGTGAGTATCACTGGTACAAGGATGCCAGGGTGAGTATCACTGGTACAAGGATGCTAGGGTGAGTATCACTGGTACAAGGATGCCAGGGTGAGTATCACTGGTACAAAGATGCCAGGTTATCACTGGTACAAGGATGCCAGGGTGAGTATTACTGGTACAAGGATGCCAGTGTATCACTGGTACAAGGATGCCAGGGTGAGTATCACTGGTACAAGGATGCCAGGGTATCACTGGTACAAGGATGCCAGGGTGAGTATCACTGGTACAAGGATGCCAGGGTGAGTATCACTGGTACAAGGATGCTAGGGTGAGTATCACTGGTACAAGGATGCCAGGGTGAGTATCACTGGTACAAGGATGCCAGGGTGAGTATCACTGGTACAAGGATGCCAGGGTGAGTATCACTGGTACAAGGATGCTAGGGTGAGTATCACAGATACAAGGATGCCAGGGTGAGTATCACTGGTACAAGGATGCCAGGGTATCACTGGTACAAGAATGCCCGGGTGAGTATCACTGGTGCAAGGATGCCAGGGTGAGTATCACTTGAACAAGGATGCCAGGGTATCACTGGTACAAGGATGCCAGGGTATCACTGATACAAGGATGCCAGGGTATCACTGGTACAAGGATACCAGGGTGAGTATCAATGGTAGAAGGATGCCAGGGTGAGTATCACTGGTACAATGATGCCAGGGTGAGTATCACTGGTACAAAGATGCCAGGGTATCACTGGTACAAGGATGCCAGGGTGAGTATCACTGGTACAATGATGCCAGGGTGAGTATCACTGGAACAAGGATGCCAGGGTATCACTGATACAAGGATGCCAGGGTATCACTGGTACAAGGATGCCAGGGTGAGTATCAATGGTAGAAGGATGCCAGGGTGAGTATCACTGGTACAATGATGCCAGGGTGAGTATCACTGGTACAAAGATGCCAGGGTATCACTGGTACAAGGATGCCAGGGTACCACTGGTACAAGGATGCCAGGGTGAGTATCACTGGTACAAGGATGCTAGGGGGAGCATCACTGGTACAAGGATGCCACAGTATCACTGGTACAAGAATGCCAGGGTATCACTGGTACAAGGATGCCAGGGTGAGTATCACTGGTACAAGGATGCCAGGGTGAGTATCACTGGTACAAGGATGCCAGGGTGAGTATCACTGGTACAAGGATGCCAGGGTGAGTATCACTGGTACAAGGATGCCTGGGTATCACTGGTACAATGATGCCAGGGAGAGTATCACTGGTACAAGGATGCCATGGTATCACTGGTACAAGGATGCCAGGGTGAGTATCACTGGTACAAGGATGCTAGGGAGAATATCACTGGTACAAGCATGCCAGGGAGAATATCACTGGTACAAGGATGCCAGGGAGAATATCACTGGTACAAGGATGCCAGGGTATCACTGGTACAAGGATGCCAGGGAGAGTATCACTGGTACAAGGATGTCATGGTATCACTGGTACAAGGATGCCAGGATGAGTATCACTGGTACAAGGATGCTAGGGAGAATATCACTGGTACAAGCATGCCAGGGAGAATATCACTGGTACAAGAATGCCAGGGAGAATATCACTGGTACAAGGATGCCAGGGAGAATATCAATTGTACAAGGATGCCAGGGAGAATACCACTGGTACAAGGATGCCAGGGAGAATATCACTGGTACAAGGATGCCAGGGAGAATACCACTGGTACAAGGATGCCAGGGAGAATACCACTGGTACAAGGATGCCAGGGAGAATACCACTGGTACAAGGATGCCAGGGAGAATATCACTGTACAAGGATGTCAGGGAGAATATCACTGGTACAAGGATGCCAGGGAGAATAACACTGGTACAAGGATGCCAGGGAGAATACCACTCGTACAAGGATGCCAGGGAGAATACCACTGGTAAAAGGATGCCAGGGAGAATACCACTGGTACAAGGATGCCAGGGAGAATACCACTGGTACAAGGATGCCAGGGAGAATACCACTGGTACAAGGATGCCAGGGAGAATACCACTGGTACAAGGATGCCAGGGAGAATACCACTGGTACAGAGATGCCAGGGAGAATACCACTGGTACAAGGATGCCAGGGAGAATATCACTGGTACAAGGATGCCAGGGAGGATATCATTGGTACAAGGATGGCAGGGAGAATACCACTGGTACAAGGATGCCAGGGAGAATACCACTGGTACAAGGATGCCAGGGAGAATATCACTGGTAGAAGGATGCCAGGGAGAATATCATTGGTTCAAGGATTGCAGTGAGAATACCACTGGTACAAGGATGCCAGGGAGAATACCACTGGTACAAGGATGCCAGGGAGAATATCACTGGTACAAGGATGCCAGGGAGAATACCACTGGTACAAGGATGCCAGCGAG